CTCTTCAGCTCAAGGCTAGCGCTCTATCACTTGAGCCACAGCCACTTCCAGCTTTTTTCTTTTTGCTTATGTGGTGCTGAGGAATCGAACCCAGGGCCCCATGCATGCAAGGCAAGCGCTCTACCACTGAGCCACCTTCCCAGCCCCAGTCTATCTATCTATCTATCTATCTATCTATCTATCTATCTATCTATCTATCTATCTATCTATCTATCTATCTATCTAGTGTCCATCCTAGGGCTTGAACTCAGTACCTGGGCACTGTCCCTGAGGTTTTGTGCTCAAGGCTAACACTCTACCACTGAAGCCACAGCTCCGCTTTTGGCTTTCTGGTATTTAGGGCTTCCTGCCCGGGCTGGCTTTGAACCGTGATCCTAAGATCTCAGCCTCCTGAGTAGCTAGGATTACAGGCATAAGCCACTAGCAGCTGGCCAGCCGAGAGATTCTTATATTGAATTAACCAGCAAAAAGCCTTAAGGAGAGGTATGTTTACATGGTAGAGACCCAGCCTTGAGCAAAAAAGCTGAGTAAGAGAATAAGGAACTATTAAATATCAAGGATTATGCCGATTTGGGAGCTATTTTGCAATGTTTGGTGGACTATTCTAAGGAAGTGTCCTGATTTGTCCTCATTTATGCCTGCTGCCCCAACTGAATAGACTGTGTTTCCCGGTCTGGCCCCAAACTCATGGGCTCAGGGGATTCTCCTATCTCAGCCTCCCAAGTAGCTTGAACTATGGAAGCGCCACACTGCTTCTGCAAACCAAAGAGCTTGACAGTAAATAGTTTCAGTCTCACCAGTCCTCCAAACCCTCAACTCTGTCTGCAAAGGCAGTGAAGACAAATATGTAACCCACAGGAGTGGCTGTCTTGCAAAAACTTTCCTGTGTTTACCCAAACAGATAACTGGCTGGCTGCAGCCAGAGGGCCCGGACTGCCAGGCCAGGGCTAGAACACTAACTCCAGTCAGGAGGTGGAGGAGATGTGTCTGGCATAGGAGCACAAGGGCTCTCAAGGACAAGGTCACTGAAGGAAAAGTAGAAACTTCACCACGATGCAAAACCCTGGAGCACACGCAGGCTCCCTAAAAAGCAGTCAGTTCAGAGAAACGCATTCTTGTTTTTAGGGGACAAAAAACAGAAGCCTCTTGTAAGGTTAGAGCAGGTGAGAAGATTGGAGGCCAAAACTCGTGCCATTCTCATCTGGACTTCGCTTTTTTCCTTTTCTTTACTTGGTACTCAATTCCTTCTCACATTTGCTGAATATGAAATAGGAAATATGGAGAGAAGGAAGGAAGGAGGTAAGGGCAGGGAGAGAAGTGGGAAAGATAAGGGAGGGGGAGGAAGGAGAGGTAAAGTCTACACAAGGAAGATTTTCCTCATAGTAAAGGAATCTTTGGAAAAGAAGTCACAGAGACTGTCAGCCCCCTGATGGTCTCCAGGGAAAATGTCCTTTCCAATTCTGTACTTTCTGGGGGGAAAAAATGGATAACCCAAGCCAGGTGCACTGGTACATGCCTTTAGTCCCATCTACTCAGGAACCTAACAGGAGGATTGTTTGAGTCCAAGTTTGAGATCAGCCTAGGCAATGCAACAAAACTACATTCCCCCTCCCCATAAAAAAAATGAAAAAGGAGCATCCGGATCCCCAAAAGGACATGGGGTGGTCCATGAGGCCAAAGGTGGACATCCAGAGAAGGTAGGTCATTCTCCACAGGACACTCAACAGCAAACACTATGGGTGGAAACTCCAGGCATGAAGGCCCTCCGTGGGAGGAGGAGCCCAGGCTGGTTATAGAACTGGATCAGGAAGGAATGTTCCAGATGCTTCTATTAATTAGTTCTACACCTCAGGAGGCCCCTGTTGCATACAGGCAAAAGCACCAGGTGACTATCTTGAGAACTGTATGGAAAGCCATCACAGCTCAAGAGCGCCATCTACTGCGGGAAGTGCAGCCAGGGCTCCTCCATCCACGGAGCTCAACATTCAGAAAGTGATTGAAGCCACCCCTTTTTATTGGCTCTAATTCAGGCCAGGGTCCTACCACCTACCAGTTCTTGTGTGTGGGTTACAAAGGTCACAGTCCAAGTCTGTTTTTCTTTCTTCTGTGTGTGTGTGTGTGTGTGTGTTCGTACTGGGGCTTAAACTCAGGGACTTGAGCACTTGATTAGCTTTTTGCTTTTTTGCTCAAGGCTGGTACTCTACCACTTAAGCCACAGACCCATTTCCATCTTTTTTGCTGTTTATTTGAAGAGTTGCTTGGATTTATCTGCCCAGGCTGGCTTTGAACCTTGGTCCTCAGATCTCAGCCTCCGACTTGGCTAGGATTATAGGCGTGAGTGAGCTAGATGAACTTCCTTAGATTCAAATCATCCCAAATCTGATGCTTTTCACATCCAAAACACATCAGTTAAGGGATACTGAGCTGAGCAGATTATCTGGGGGCAAGAGGGGGAAAGAAAACCCTAACTCCTCATTTATCTGACCAGTGTGGAGAAAACAAACCTATATCCCCCTCTCTCTCATATATATGAGGGGGGTGGATAGATAGATTCAATAAACTTCAAGTCTGAAGAGCCAGGTACTGGTAGCTGTAATTCCTAGCTACTCAGGACACTGAGATCGAAGGTGAAAGTCTGATGACAGCCTGGGTAGAAAAGTTCACGGGACTCCACTGAAGCAGCAAAAAAGCCAGAAGGGAAGGTGTGGCTCAAATGGGAGAGCACAAGCCTTGAGCAAAAACAAAAACAAGCCAAGTGAGTGCGTGGAGGCCTTGACTTCATGCCCCAGTACCAGCTTGCTCGCTTACTCAATCAATTAATAATAAAGCCTGAGAACAGGGCTTGCAAGCAGGAAGGAAAAACGGGGAGCATTTCCAGATCCATCAACCCTCAGCGGGGCTGCGGGTGTCCCCGCCCCGCCCCATCGCCCCGCCCCTCCTTCTCGAGGCCCCGCCCACTCCGTAGCCCCGCCCACGCCCCTTCCCACAGGTCGCGCGTGCGCACCGGGCAGCCCAGGTAGGCCGAGTTGTGCACCCCGGGCGGCCGACGGTAGGTGCCGTCGCTGTCGGTGGTGATGAGCCGGTCCTTCTCCGCGTCGGCCGGGCACCCGTTCACCTGGTGTTTCCGGCGCGGCTTGGGTGAACGCTTTATCCGCGAGCTGCCGGGCGACATTGGAAACGGTCTCCCCAGGAAGGAAGCCTCCACGCCACCTCCCCACCCGAGCCCGGCGGGGCCATCCCCTGGGGCAAACGGGGCGGCAGGCAGGGTCCCCCGCCTCCAGGAGACGGGGGGGGGGAATGGGGGGGACGGAGGCCCCGCCCCCCAGGGGAGACAGGGGGAAGGAGGCCCCGCCCCCAGGGAGACCCGGGCTGGGCGCAGAGCTGCCTGGCAGGCCCCGCCCCTGGCCCCGCCCACCTCTTCCGGGGCTCGATGAACACCGAGGGCACGCTGGCCGTAGGGTCCAGGATCTTGTCGATCTGCATCTGTGCGCGGCGGTACACGCGGTGCCGCTCCTTCGTGTCCCCCGAGGACAGGTCGTCCACCACCGGGAACTCGTAATGGCCGCGCCTCTTGGCACGCAGCCGGATCTTGTTGCGGTGATGCTCAATCTCGGATTTGTGCCGCAGCGCCGTCTGAATCTGAGGGGAGGTGGGGGAAAACAGGGTGTTCTTAGATGTTTCCGGAACCCTCCTTGGCCAAGCCTTTTATGCACCACTTCCTCTCCCCCACAACCTGGACATGCTATCTGGGGGCTCCGGGATGCCCAACCGGAGTGACGGGGCAGGGACAGCCCCCGCCCTAAATTTCTTCTGTAACTTCTTTAAGCTGACTCATGGGCCTTGACTTTACCTAGCCAGGAACCTATGACAGCCTATTTTACCAAGGGGCGCAGGGTGCCAGCCATCCCAATTGGTCCCCAGGAGGGGCTGGTTTTCTCTGTCCCCCCCCAAGAGACACTCAAGCCTTGGACAGTGACCCTTGACAAAGTGGAAGACGCAATTCTCCGATAGCCAGGTGCAATACATCCTCACATGCAAAGAAGGCTTCTGCGCTAAAGCAGATGCTCGTCATTAACTCCCTCGTGATTACCTGGCTTAGGGAGGCAGCTTCCCAGAGTCTGGCTGCACCCCTTTCCTCCCCACCCCCAAAAGGTGGAGACCACGGCCACGCAGGGTGGCCTGAGGCCCAAGGAAGCTGAGCAGCGCCCGGGCAGGGCTTTCCCAGGCCTCAGGTGACTGCATGAGGCCCTCTACACAGTGTCTAATCGCGCTTGTCCAGTGTCTTATCTTCCTTGCTTTTTAGTTTTTTCAATTGTTATAATAATGTTCGGGATGTACGGGTTACAGTTACATAAATCAGGAAAAGAATACATTTCTCTTTGGATATCACCCCTTCACTCTTTCCCAGTTTTTCTCACTCACAAGTGGTATAGTTTTGTTTTTGTTTTTACCAGTCCTGGGACTTGAACTCAGGGCCTGGGCATTGTTCCTGAGATTCTTTTGCTCAAGGCTAGCACTCTACAACTTAAACCACAGCACCACTTCCGGATTTTTCTTTTGATGCGGTACTAAGGAACTGAACCCAGGGCTTCATGCATACAAGGCAAACACTCTACCACTAAGCGAAGTTCCCAGCTGGTATAGTTCATTTTCAACATTGTGTCTAATGAGTACCACTGCTACATTTGTTCACCCTTTGTCCACTTCAGCGCCTCTCCTTACACTCCACAGATAAACAAGACAAAAGGAAAACAAAAATAGCAAAAAAGAGCCTCTTGTTTCCATTTCCTGGCAGTCTGATCTTAAAAAATAAATAGAGATAGTCATTTTTGTTTTGGGATGCTTGAACTCAGGCCCTTGCATTCTTGCTTGGCTTATTTTTGCTCAGGATTGGTGCTCTACCACTGGAGCCATGCTTCCACTTCCAGTTTTTGCTGGTTAACTAAAGATAATGAGTCTCACGGACTTTCTTGTCCCAACTCCTTTGAGCTGCGATCCTTAGAGCTGAGCCTCCTGAATAGCTAGGATTATAGGAGTCATCCATTGGTGCTGAGTGTTTTAAACCAAGCATACTTATTTGACAGTGTACCTTTTGTTCACTTTAAAGCGCTGACTAAACCAGAATGTGAGGTTTTTATTTTATTTTATTTTTTTGTTTTTTTTGGGGGCCCGGTCGTGGGGCCTGAACTCTAGGCCTGGGCGCTGTCCCTCAGCTCTTCAGCTCAAGGCTAGCGCTCTACCACTTGAGCCACAGCGCCACTTCCAGCATTTTTCTCTTTGCTTATGTGGTGCTGAGGAATCGAACCCAGGGCCTCAGGCATGCAAGGCAAGCACTCTACCACTGAGCCACCTTCCCAGCCCGTGAGGTTTTTATTAATATAACAATTATTATTGCTAATGTGGGTTTTGTGGTTTTTTTTTTTTTAATCTGCTCTGGGACTTTAAATCAGGACCTGGGTGCTGTCCCTTAGCTTTTTCACTCAAAGCTGGCACTCTACCACTTCTGCTATACCTCCAATTCCAGCTTTTTGCTGGAGATAAGAGTCTCTCCTATTTGTCTACAAGGATTTGAACCGTGATCCTCAGACCTCAGCCTCTTTAGCTAGATTACAGGCGTGAGCCACCGGCGTGGTCGGGCTTGCTGAGGTGTATTTGAATTAGAACACATACCTCCTTGTTGATCTTGTTGGTCTCAGCCACTCGGCTGGCCAGCACGGGGTTCTGGGCAGGGGGCACCGGGATGGGCTGCATGGCGATCAGCTGCACCTTACTGGGGACCCGCCGGCTGGCCTCAGACGAGCGCGAGAGCCTGTCCACATGCTCAAAGATGGAAGCGGAGGAGTGCTGCTCCGTCCCTGAACTGGGAAGTGGGGGTGCTAGAAAGGAGAGAAAAGCAAGGGATAAAGTCACTTGAAGAAATAGCAGGGGCAATGCTAAGGCCCAAAAGACTATGGCCCCACACTGGGGGCAGAGCACTGGAAATGTCTCTATCTAATGCTGTCTCTTCCATTGTCATTAAAAATGATAAACACAACCAGGTTCTGGTGGCTCACTCCTGTAATCCTAGCTACTCAGGAGGCTCTGAGGATTGTGGTTCAAAACCAGATTGGGCAGAAGAGTCTGTGGGACTCTTATCTCCAATTAACCACCAGAAAACCAGAAGTGGCGCTGTGGTTCAAAGTAGTAGAGCACCATCCTTGAGAAGAATAGCTCAGGGGCAGTGCTTAAGCTCTGTTCAAGCCCCATGACCATCACCATCACCACCACCAACAACAACAACAAAAAAGACAAACACTTAGCTGGGCACCAGTGGCTCACACCTGTAATCCTAGCTACTCAGGAGGCCGAGATCTGAGGATCGCAGTTCAAAGCCAGCCCGGTCAGGAAAGTCCAGGAGACTCATCTCCAATAAACCACTCAGAAAACCGAGTGTTGCAATGGCTCAAGTGGTAGAGTGATAGCCTTGAGCTGAAGAGCTGAGGGACAGCGCCCAGGCCCAGTTCAAGCCCCACAACCAAAAGAAAAAAAAAATTTTTTTAAGGAAAGATGAGAAAAAGTCATTAGGCTATTCACTGTGTCAACAGCTGCCCAGTTTTGTCTGAATACAATTCAAATCTTTAGGATATAAGGGGACAGCAGAAGCTCAAGCTGCTCAGCTGGTCAAGAGACACCTGACAGAACTTTTAGAAGCATTTCTAGCCTCTGTGAACTTGTGCTATCATGAAGAGAGCTTGCAGAGTTCTGAACTCACCCCCGTCCTTAGCTGGCACTCTACCACTAAAGGCACCTTCCCACTTCCAGCTCAGTTAACTGAAGATAAGAGTCTTACAGATTCGTCTGCCAGGGGGGTGGGCTTTAAACCATGATCCTCAGATCTCAGCTTTCTGAGCAAGATTCCAATGTGAGCCACCTAACTCTGAACATTCTCCAAGAGAAGTCTTTGACTTTTGCTCACACTGGTATGGAAGTCAGAAGAAGGGAAAGGTAGGCACTCCAAGATATTTCTCAACTGAACAATGAACAGAAACGAAAATCCACAGCTCTTTTTCTTTCCCCGGAGTATTTCTTCCCTGGATGAAACCTGGACTTTAATCCTGTCTCTCTGAAGCACCACACCTGCTACTGCGTTTTAAGACTCTGTGAAAGCGGATCCTGAGCAAAAGCTCTTGCCTTTGTCTGAAAGGCTTTTCCTTCAGATTATAAAAGGGTGTGCAGGCCTTGTGCCCCAAGAACCCCAAAGGCCACATGTAGGTCTAAGCTTCGGTCGAGAATCTCTTCTCTTATACAATACAGTTCACTCAGTGAAATTTCATACAGACAAATTTACAATCAACAATGTCGAGTATAAAAATTACTATTAAAAACAACATGCTGAGGTTTCCCTTATCTTTGCATTCCTGAAACACAATCCTAAGATATAAATAAAGCTCTGCTCAATACAATAGCTGAATGGGCACATTTACTTATTTACCTATTACACTAAAACCACGCTACCCTGGCATGCATCCAGAAATGGCTCCCTTGGAGAGGCGGGCCTGTGGGCGTGGCTTGCTTCTAGGGCCTAAGTCTGTCAGTGATTCCCATAGGCTGGGGAACAAAGTTCATCTGAGACCTACTTATCTCCCCAGGCAAGGAAGCTAAAGCCATGAACCTCCAGCTCCCATTTAGAAAAGGATGATGATGCGGGATGACCCCGCTACCTGCCACAGCACCAGCAAGGACATCTGGAATTGATCCCCAAGAGAATCACTAGATCCGACAGGCTGTTTTTAGGCCTGGAGTTTTTGTTTCATTTCTTTTGTCCTTCTGGAAGGAATATTATTTGGACCCTAAATCAGAATAAAGATGCAGCTCTGTGAACCCCTCGTCTCCACCACAGAAGTCTTGAAGAAGACACCAGTATAAAGTCTGATGGTGACGATCAATGCTGAGAAGTTCAGCATGAGACAACTACTCCATTTAGAAAAAAAAAAAAAATATATATATATATATATATATATATATTTTTTTTTTTGGGGGGGTCAGTCGTGGGACTTGAACTCAGGGGCCTGAGCTCTTTTTGCTCAAGGCTAGCTCTCTACCACTTTGAGCCACAGCTCCACTTCCAGTTTTCTGGTAGTGAATTAGAGATAAGCATCTCATGGGCTTTCCTGCCTGAGCTGGCTTTGAACCATGATCCTCAGATCTCTGCCTCCTGAATAGCTAGTATTGCAGGCATGAGCCACTGGCACCTGGCCATTTAGTAGATTGTTTTTTGGGGTTGTTTTTTTTTTTTTTGGTCCGGTCATGGGGCCTGAACTCTGGGCCTGGGCACTGTCCCTCAGCTCTTCAGCTCAAGGCTAGCGCTCTACCACTTGAGCCACAGAGCCACTTCCGGCTTTTTTTTTCTTTTTGCTTATGTGATGCTGAGGAATCGAACCCAGGGCCTCAGGCATGCAAGGCAAGCGCTCTACCACTGAGCTACCTTCCCAGCCCCTTTTTGGGGTTGTTTTTTGTCGGTTGTGGGGCTTGAACTCTGGGCATGAGCGCTGTCCCTCAGCTCTTCAGCTCCAGACTAGTGCTCTACCACTTGAGCTACTTCCTGTTTACAGCGCCACTTCCTGTTTTCTGGTGGTTTATTGGAGATAAGGATTGCATGGACTTTCCTGCCCAGGCTGGCTTTGAACTGTGATCCTCAGATCTTAGCCTCCTGAGTAGTAGCTAGGCGTGAGCCACTGGCGCCCGGCTGGGTTGTTTGGTTTTGTTTTTTTTTGGGGTCCAGTCATGGGGCCTGAACTCTGGGCCTGGGCGCTGTCCCTCAGCTCTTCAGCTCAAGGCTAGCGCTCTACCACTTGAGCCACAGAGCCACTTCCGGCTTTTTTTTTCTTTTTGCTTATGTGGTGCTGAGGAATCGAACCCAGGGCCTCAGGCATGCAAGGCAAGCACTCTACCACTGAGCCATCTTCCCAGCCCCCTAATAGATTCAGTTTAGCATTTGAAGTAGAACAGCAGCCTGACTGATGGCAATCTCATGACTGAACAGGGAGAGTCACAGACCGCTCTGTGGGGCTCGGTGGGCCTTGCCCTCAGGGACCACGGCTGGCGTCTTGTCCCCCACGTCCCTTTCACTGGACTCCTCGCTGACCGTCGAGTCCACATCTGAGGGGGAGACTCTGCAGACACAGACAAATCGCAACCATTAGAGGAGCAAGAAAGAGTGGGAAGGTTACAATCATTTGCAAGTCAGGCTTCTTAGGTAGAAATGGTAGCCAGCTTGGGATTACAGGGATGTGCTACCTCACTGAGCCACTGGTTGAGATGGGGTCTCGAGAACTACTTTTTGTCTAGGCTGATCTCGTATATCATCATGCTCCAATCTCTGCCTCCCAAGTATCTAGGATTACAGACTTGAGCCTCTGCACCCAGCTTCATCTTGTGTCACAAGGGTGAGCCTGGCACCTGGGTTTATCAGGCTAAGAAAACTACACCTCACCTCTTTGGGTTCCCTGGCTTCTACAGAAATGTGGAATGTCAGACATCCTATTACCATCTTTCTGGATACTTTAAATGTGTTTTTGTTTTTGTTTTGTTTTTGGTGCCAATCCTGAGGCTTGAATTCAGGGCTTGGGTGCTATCCCTGAGCTTTTCTGCTCACGGCTGGTGCTCTACCACTTGAACCACAGCTCCATTTCCAGATTTTTGGTGGTTACTTAGGAGATAAGAGTCTCACAGATTTTCTTGCCCAGAGTTGGCTTCAAACCTCAATCCCCAGACCTCAGTAGTTGGTATGAGCCACCAGTGCCCAGGTCTAGGTTATTTGTAATACTTGATATAATGTAAATATACATATATATATAGTCATATATATAATAGTCTTGTTTTGAGAATGACAAAAAAATCTGTACATATTTTTGAGATGTAATTTTTTCCTGAGCATTTCTGATCCACAGTATTTGAAATGGTATACACTACAAAGATCATCGACATGATGCGACTAGATGTTTCAGATGATGCTACAAAAAAAAAAAAACCACTTTACAAAATTATACTAGCATATCAAATCATCCACATTGATTTAATTTACTCTTAGCCAGTAAAATAATTACACAAAGAGCATCTCTCCATATAATTGATTTTCTTTTATAAACATCATGCTTTAATATTAAATCCTTAAAACTAGGCCAGACCCCTGGGGTGAGTTTTCTGATAAGACAGAAATGATGACACCGTTTTGGATAATGGTGTGGCCACACACTTTTTTCCACTCCTAGTGGAAAATTCTGGAGTTCAGAATTGCAGTGCTCAAAGTAAGTCTGCTGAGCTGAAGCTTCAGGGCGCCACGAGTCTGAGTTTGTCATCTTTAACTCCGAGCTAGCTCTTCTCATGGGAGAAAGGCATCAAGGGACTTCCTGGCAGCTCAGAAAATTAATATGCAAGTCTACTGGTGCTCCCGTTTAATCTGAAGGATTGGAAATCAACTGGGAATGAGGAGTGGGCCAGGAGGCGGCGGCGCCAAGTCCCACACAATGTGCCCACAAAGGAGACGGCCAGGACAGCTGGGAAAGAGGAGCAAAGAGGGATTCCACGAAGGTGCCTGCCGACAAAGCAAGGATGTCACCGCCAGCAGCCACTGGCTTAACAAGCCGAGGCACCGCAGCCCATGCTGGCGGGGTCCATACTGTGTGGACTACGCGCACTGTGCGCACTATGTGATTCCGTATGCTGTGCAAAGTGTGCACACTCTGTTCTAAATGAGCTAGGTACACTATGCAAACTATGCATCCTGTGCTCACTATACACACGATGCATACTCTGGGCCGTGCACTTCGGAGGATGTAGAATTCTTTTAACCCCGGAACACGCACGCTGGAGCTGGTCAGTCCCTCACAGGTGCCCTCACACACCTGATGACTCATCTCCAGCACTTTGGGGAGAAGCTGCTCCTAGAGACACGGCTGGGCCCTGTGTGACTTAGGCACGTGCGAGTCTCCCCGGCTGTTCACCCAGGGCGGTACCAGTCCTTCTGCTACCAAAACTGACCACCTGAAAACAAGCATCCACTGTGACAGAACAATCCAGAAAGCATGATAACAACCTTCCTCTGTGGCGGGCGTTCTTGGCGGGGATCTTGGCCTTGGGGCTGGGCACGTCTCCGTTCTCAGAGGGTGTGGTGTGCTCCTTCACTGGTCCTGGCAGCGGTGCGGGCTCATGAATAATCAAGATGTCATCTTTATTATGCTGGCCCAGATGCTGCTTAGCAAAATCGAAGCCCTTCACACTTGGGATCTGCAGCTGAAACACACATATACACGCACACGCGTGAACGAGGCGGGGAATGTGATGTGGGAGGGCCGACCCAGAGCGTGAACTCTGACCCCTGACCCGGCTGGCAATGCACCAACACAATTCCAGAAGCATCTGTCGTGTCAGCTGAGTGTGCAGTTTGGACCCAGAGGATGTGACAGAGGCTCGCAAAAGCTTAAACCAAGTACAGAGGTCAAAGAGCAAGAGCAGAGCCGTTCTGATACCGCACAGCGCTGCCGCCGCACAGTGAACACCAGGGAACAGCGGGCTCCACACCTTCTGTAGAGAGATAAGGGGACTTGAGAGAATGTTCTAGATGGTATCGTGTGAAGGATCAGAAGAGATTATGTAAGCTGTATGAAAGGGGGCAGAAGAGAGAGAAGCCAGCCTAGACCCAGACAAAACTCCAAATGTCAACTTCCACAGCTCGGCCTCTGGGAAATCAGAAACCTACAGGTATTTCCCAACAGGTAGATTTTTAAAATGCAAGGAGACAGGATGTGAGGGGCTTACCAAGTGCTCATTCCACATCCTGAACCCAGAAAGACCTAAGTCCAGGCTCCTAACCAAGAAAATGGAAAGACACAGACAGCTCTGCAAATCAGACAGAAAAAAACTCGAAGCCAAACAGGTAGCAGAGACAACGAAGGAGCCAAGGCCAAGGATGGCGGGGATGTTCACTTGTTTGTTTTGGTGCCACTACTGAGGCTTGAACTCAGGCCCCGAGCCATCCTGTCCCTTAGCTTTACTCACTGAAGGCTGGTACTCTACCACTTGAGCCTCGGCTCCACACCAAGCGCTTTGCTAGTTCATGGAGATAGAAGTCTCAGGGACTTTCCTACCCAGGCCAGCTTCAAGCCTTGATCTTCAGCTCTTCAGCCTCCTGAGTAGCAAGGATGTCAGGCCTGAGTTGCCAGCGGCTGGGTGATGAGCTGTAAGTTTTAGGCAGAGATACGCAATGGAGGGAGGGATGCTAGGAAAGGAAGTGAGTCACAGAGAGGAGGCCTGCAGCCCATCAAACACAGGCCTCACTTTCAACATCTTAGGGGGAGAGGACAGAGCAGCTCTCAAAGGAAAACAGCTTGGAGCAGCTGGAGACCAAGGACACACGCCTAGGGAGCTTCGCAGAGAGGCCACACGACACTAACACCCATCGGGAAGCTCGGGGACCTGAGGGGCAGCTGGGATTCTTTTTTGAAGTGAATACAGATCCTCTGGATAAAATGTTGGGGACACATCAAAGAGCAAAAGGAAGAGCAAGCAAGGAAGAAATAGGTGACTTCAAAGAAACAGCAGAATTTGAGAAGTTCAGCATGACACAAGCCAAGCCAAATAAAGAATTTCCAAAAGGATCGGTCGACACAAAGTAATGGCGACACAAAGCTCAAAGAGAAAAGGGGTCCTCAGACAAGTGCACCCTCACATCAGGGGTGATCCGGGGGTCCTGACAGGGGACACACAGTTCAACCAACACCTCACCTACACCTAGACCGTGGGAGCTACACCTGCCTAAAGCTTCAGCACTAGGCCTGTGGTGAGAAAGGAAGAATAATCAAGGTACCCGGAGATGTAAGCACCATTTTTTTTCCTTTTTCTTTTCTATTAGGGTTTGAACTCAGGGCCTCGTGCTTGTTAAGCGAGTGCTCTACTCCTGAGCCATGTCTCCAGCCCTTTTTGCACCAGTTATTTTTTTCCCGGTCCTGGGGGCTTGAACTCAGGCCTGAGTTCTGTCCCTGAGCCTCTCCGTGCTCAAAGCTGGTGCTCTACAACCTAAGCCACAGCGCCGCTTCCAGCTTTTTCTGTTACGTGTAGTTCTGAGGAATCAAATCCAGAGCTTCATGCATGCTAGGCAAGCACTCTACCACTAAGCCACATTCCCAGCCCTGCACCAGTTATTTTTGAGGTAAGAGTCTTGCTTTCTGCTCAGGCATGTTCCTGGTTGACAATCTACTTTTGGCTTTCCATAACTGCTGGGATTATAGGTACATGCTACCACATCCAACTTCCCACCATAGAAATAAAGTTTGCTTCAGCGTTCCTGGGCAGTCTGGCCTAGAGTGTGATCCGCCCATTCTCAGCCTCCCAAGTATCTAGTATCACAGGCTACGAGCCACTGCTGGCTGGCTGGAGCTCCCCCCACCCCTTTTCTTCCCCTCCTTTTGGTCAGTTCTGGGACTTGAATTCAGGGTACTGTTCCTGAGCTCTTTTATGCAAGGCTATCACTCTACCACTTTGAGCCACAGCTCCACACTTCTGGTTTTTTGAGTGGTTAACTGAAAATAAGAGTCTCACAGGGACTTTTCTGCCCAGGCTGACTTTGGACCATGGCCCTCAAATCTCAGCCTCCTGAGAACCTAGGATTACAGACATGAGCCACCAGGGCCTGGCATGGAGCTCTATTTTTGATGACACCGTACTTGTTACAGTGCTCACATTTCGGTGACTGGCAGTTCTTTCAGTCCAGCCTTCGGGGTTTGCGAAATAAACTGCATGCAAAGATTTGTCCTGAGGAGGCCCCTTATCAGGAATGCCATGTGCAATCCAAAGCCTGCAATCAGGCTGTGTGCCCATCCATACCTACAGATGATCCTAACAACCAAATGAGGACACTCATGCAGATCTCACGGGTGATTTTAAATAACTACTGTATATACAAGCAAATGGCATGGTCTTATTTGTCTTCCTTTATGCACAAAAAGCAACACAGGTGACTTAGATCTCTAAGCCTTAAATACCTCCAGGACCCCAGCTACAAAGAAAGCAGTCTTCAATAATGATTTACGCCAGCAGAGGGAGACAAAACTCGTTGTAAAGATAGCTTACAAAGAGTTGCTAGGAAACAAAAGGCAAATTCTCTTCTCAATGAGCTCCAGTTACAAAAAGCAGTCGGGCTCCCTAGGTTCAAGAACAATGCTAGTCAAAGGCTGAACCCCACCTGCCTCTCCTTACCGTATTACCTGCACCTCTGACGCATTTTCCCTGGTAGCAATGGAATTACAAATGCATAGTCAACTATATGTTCTCATTTCCAAGTGCCTTTTCTGAGACTGCTCCTCTGTAGTGGCTTCCTAGTGTGCCCAAGGGAATGTGGTTTCCTTTTTCTCTGATATGTATTTCTTTTTTTCTCTTTGATACTGGTCCTGGCTCTTGAACTCAGAGCCTGGGTTCTGTCCCTTCATTTCTCACTTGAAGTTAATGTTCTACCACTTGAGCCACAGTTCCACTTCTGAATTTTTTTTGCTGGTTCATTGGAAATAAGAGTCTCACCGACTTTCCTGCCCAGGCTGGCTCCAAAGTCACCATTCCACACACCCTGTTCTCTGGGTCTTGCTCAGGGACTTAATGCCGCCATATTTTGCACCAAAGGACAAAGGAGTGTAAGTTTTGATGCCTACTTCTGAAAAACCAAAATTCAAAGCAAAAATACAAGTCATAGAACAAAGATAGTATTGTATATTTCCTTAAGAAAACTGTTCCTTATTTACAAGATAATTTCATTAACTTTCAATCATTCGGTCTGTGTTCAGGTCGCCTAACTCAAGTTATTTCCTCACTGTCCCCCAGAAACCTTTAGTGCCCATAATTGGCCATTACCATACATCTCCTAGATTTAACTCCAGAGCAACACATTTGGCTTCTAACCATAATTAGTGTACTTAAGAGCAATCATCAATTTGTCTTTCAGGAAATCCAACGCTTAGTAGTTCATTATTCTCTCCTTTTTTTGTTGACGATTTCCACTGACTCAACTGTACTTTTTCTTTTTTCTTTTTTGGTGCCAGTCCTGGGACTTGAACTCGAGGCCTGTGTGCCATCCCTGAACTTCTTTTGCTCAAGGCCAGTGCTCTACTACTAAAACCACAGCTCCTCTCCTGGCTTTTTTTGATAGTTAATTGGAGATGAGAGTGTCACAGACTTTCCTCCCTCCTGAGTAGCTGGGATTGCAGGCGTAAGAAAGAGATCTACATATGAAGGAATACAGATAGAACTAGGCAAGTCAAAAGACAACTCCTGAACTGTAAGTAAATCAATTCAGCGTAATTAGGAGAGATACCACAGCCTTTGACATGCTGTCCTAGTTTGTGAAATATTTAATTCTAAATATTATTCCCATCTTGAAATTACAAATCCGTCTATGTAATTCTCAAGTATTTACTTGACAGGCACTTGTCAAGTGGAGCTTAAACTCAGTACCTGAGTGCTGTCTCATAGCATTTTCTGCTCAAGGTTATCATTCTACCACTTGAGCCACAGCTCCACTTCTGGCTTTTGGGTGGTAAACTGAAAATAAGAGTCTCACAGACATTCCTGCCAAGGCTGGTCTCAAACCACAATCCTGAGATCTCAGCCTCTTGTTTGAGTAGTTAGGATTACAGGTGGGAGCCACCAACACCCAGCCAAGTAAATACTTTTTAAGGAAGAAGTTGAAAATTGGACATCGATGCCCAGTTTTACAAGGTTGCTATACCTCAGCTGCAATTCCTTTCCTTTAAGCTCCCTAAACAAATGCCTCTAAGTGAACGAGTAATAGATAAAGCCTACAGCCTCCAACCTCCACCACCATCATTTAATAAATCTTTCTAACATCCTTTCTGGTATATTTGCCAGTAAGAAAGTGCATGCCTCTCAGACAGAGCACCCAATGTCTTTTACATGTTAGTGGGTTTGCTTTACCTAAACAGAGAGAGGAATTATACATCAGCCCTTGAGACCAAAAGCCTTGAAAGGGAGTCAGACAAAAAGCACACACAGCAAGCACTCAGCTTCGCAGTGCTGGCCAAACACTCCCTGCTCCTGAGAATCTGTCAACACCTATGTAAGAAACAAACATGGTAGCCAGGCTCCAGTGGTTCACACCTGTCATCCTAGCTACTGAGCAAGCTGAGTTCTAAGAATTGAAGGTCAGAGCCAGTCCAGGCAGACAAATCTTATCTCCAATTAACCACCAGAAAGCCAGAAGTGGAGTCCATGGTTCAAGCCTTGAGTGAAAACACCAAGCAAGAGTGTGAGTTCTTGAGTTCAAGCCCCAGGACGGGCCCACTCTTATTGCTGTTGGCTGGTACAACTTGAAGCAGTGAACATAAAGAGCTGGCTTCAGGTATAGTTATATAAAGTCAAAGAGGACATTTTGTTAGCTCCAGGATATGGCACATCGAAAGCCCACAACAAATATCAGATGACTTGCGTGAACTTAGAAAGATCAGCTAAAGCAACTGGATTTTATGAGGAACCAAGAAAAGGCTTTCTATTCATAAATGAAATACATAAGCCTGCTAGATTATTGTTGATTCCAAATAACACTTTCAAATAGATCAGGGCTCTGCAAACTCACAGACTACGACAGCACCTTCTACAAATAGCAACAAAAGTCACATACGTACAGAAGGAAAAAAATTAGAGACTTTCCCCCCACTTATAGAATCCATTCATTTAACGTGTTTACTTTCTCAATCATCTCAACTAGTTTTTCCATTCTTTTTGTTTTTTAACAAAATCCAGAATTGGGTCCCGATGGCATTATCATGCACACTAGTATATTTTATTGTTTTGTGACAGCTTTTTCATTCACAAAGAACACTCCACCACTTGAGAAATGAATCTCACAAACTCCTCTGGCTTCAAAATGCAATTCAGAAATCTCAGCCTCCTGAGTAGCTGGGATTACAGGCGTGAGCCACCTGCTCCTAGCTTTGGTATATGTGTGTGGGAGGAGAGGTTGTCTTTTATTCAGAGACTGGGATTTTTCATTCATGCTTGGTGCTCTACCACTTGAGCCACAGCTCCACTTCCAGCTTTTTGCTAGTCAGCTGGAGGTAGAGTCTCATGGACTTTCCTGCCCAAGCTGGCTCCAACTGTGATCCTTAGATCTCAGCTTTCTGAGTAGGCAGGATTACAGGCATGAGCCACCGACACTTGGTTCCATCAGTATTTTAAGGAAGAGGAGTCAGGATTAATTAAAGTCTTCAATATTCATATTAGGGCCTCGTTATTTCTGAAGGAGAATGTCTTTCCTTCTTGCTTTCTTTAATATATTCCAGAGGGGACAGGACACAATGCCTGTCTGCATCTCATAAATTGCGTCACTGACGAGGGAGAGAGGCCTAACCAAGCAGCTCACCCAAGGAACAAGAAAGATGCCTGGCAAAGTTGAAAACACATGGTTCCGAAGTGTAACAAGGGCCACATGGCACAGGGAAGTCCCCAGGCTGGCCCACCCTGACCCCTGGGGAGGGACAGACAATGGAAACTTCCCAGCAAATCCCAGACGTGGCCATATAAAAAATTGCAATCATATGGAGAGTGCCATTGTGAGCATTTGTTACTTGATGGAAGTCATTTGTAAAATTTAAAAACAACCCAGACCCAGCATGCTATGCCCGTTTAGAAAGTGACAAGGCCAGATGACAGCCACCAGCTGCTCTTCAGCCCTGTGGCGTGGGACCCTGTGGTCTTAGAAGTTGGGGGCAGCACTCTAAGACTTTCCCCAACCACAGCAAGAAAGTCCCTGAGATGTTTATCTCCAACTAATCACCAAGAAGCTAGAAGTGGAGGCATGGCTCAAGTGGTAGAGTACCAGCCTGAGTGAAAAAGCTGAGACAGGGCCCAAGCCCTGAGTTCAAGCCCCAGAACAAGCACACATGCACACACACACACACACACACACACACAAATGGATTGGGAATGTGGCTTAGTGGTAGAGTGCTTGCCTAGCATGCATGAAGCCCTGGGTTGCACACACACACACACACACACACACAAATGGATTGGGAATGTGGCTTAGTGGTAGAGTGCTTGCCTAGCATGCATGAAGCCCTGGGTTCGATTCCTCAATACCACATACACAGAAAAAGCCAGCAGTGGTGCTGTGGCTCAAGTAGTTGGGTGCTAGCCTTGAACACAAGCGGATTTAGGACAGTACCCAGGCCCTGAGTTCAAGCCCTAGGACTGGCAAAAAAAAAAAAAAAACTCATTGTTGAGTGCCACATCTGGACTACAGAAATACTTCAGAAGTAAACATGAGGCAAAGAGAAAGCTTAGGCAATCCCTATTTTCCTTTTTTTTTGTCGGTCGTGGGGCTTGAACTCTGGGCCTGGGCGCTGTCCCTCAGCTCTCCAGCTCAAGGCGAGCGCTCTACCACTTGAGCTACAGCGCCATTTCCAGTTTTCTGGTGGTTTATTGGAGATAGGAGTCTCACGGTTTTTCCTGTCTGGGCTGGCTTTGAACCGTGATCCTCAGATCTCAGCCTCCTGAGTAGCTAGAATTACAGGCGTGAGCCACCAGCGCCCGGCGCAATCCCTATTTTCAACCCAATAGACCGCAGTCTTTCATCAGAGTCTATATATCAGGGAAGGGTACAAAAGACCTAAACGTGTAACCATCCATCTATACTGGTTAAGTCTCCCTGTAAAGACATTCTACAACCAGTACAAAAACATTTCCCTACCTAGAAGTGAGCTTACTGCAATGAATTTCACACCATGAACCACTCAATATGTCAGGTGCTTTTTCCATGCTATTAACAACAACAACAAAACCTTAGCAGAGGACGTAAATAATAAATGAAGGTGGCTTGTAAATATAATAGTAGTATATAATGTGCTTCTAGTACATTTGGTAAGCTAAGAGCAAGCAAGTTTGGCAAGATTTATTTCCTTTTTTAGTTAATTCAGAAGAATATGCTACATTCATTTTTTTACATCAATTAAAAGATAGAACATATTTTGTGTTCCTATGCTGAATTTGTGTGTGCGTGTATGTGTGTATATACAGTGTATGTGTGTGTATACAGTGTGTATGTGTGTGTATACAGTGGTACTGGGACTTAAACTCAATATCTCATGTTCTCACATGTGTTTTTTTTTTTTTCTTTATGTAAAAATTTCTCTCTTGGCCTCCCTGCCTCCCTATCTCTTGACTTGAACCCAGGCTTTTCTCCTCAAGGCTAGTGCTCTACCCCTTTAGCCATATCTCTACTTCCAGCTTTTGGGTGTTTAACTGGAGATAAAGGAGTCTCATGAACTTTCCTGCCCCAGTTGGTTTTGAACAGCTCTCAGATCTCAGCCGCCCCAGTAGCTAGAATTACAGGTCTAAGCCACTGGGCCCCAGCTTCACTTGAATTTTTTACTCAAGGTTGATGCTGCACCACTTGAGACATAGCTTCACTTGTAGCTTTGTTGCTAGTTAATTGGTGATGAGTCTTGGAGACTTTTCTGCCCAGATTGGCTTCAAACCACAGTCCTCAGATCTCAACTTCTTGAAGAGCTAGGATTACAGGCAAAAGCCATCAGTGCCCCAGCCAGAATTTTGTAATAATCAGATGATCAGGATAAAATTAGAAAGCTACTAGAATAATCCTTTATTCTTCGCTTTTTTTAAAAGTCTTTTGCTTACCAAACTTTCTGAGTAGAGCGAGTTCTTCAAATCTGAAAGCTCCACAGAGGTGTGTGTTAATTAATACTGCAGAATGACTACCACATTCTGTTCCCCTGGAAACCACACTGACTCAAATGCATGCTGGGACAAACATCTGTCACTCCTGAGCTCTTCTCTGGGGCTCTGCTTGTTTGCTCACACCAGAGGAGCTAGCTGCTGACCTGAAGTCAATTTCTTTGCTGTGCAACCTAATGTGACAGTTAAATATTATGAAAAGTGTTGAAATATGCATGTGGAAAGAGAATTGCTAGTCCTCTAATAGATTAAGTTGAATGTTTTGGAAATATACACGAAAAACAGGCTGATAAAGCAATTGCTCCCAAATTAGGTGTACGCAAATCGACTTTTTAAAACACTGCAGAATGGGGTGGGGAGGGAGGAAGAACGCTTAGAGAAAGAGCTAGAAGAATACTGCTTGAAATTACTTTGCTTTTCTCAACAGAGAACCACATTGGAAACTGTGGCTGATATATGATGTTTATTTCAAGAAAAATCATACAGAGCTCCTACTAGGAGCTCTGACACTTAAAACAGTGAAAGACTGGCTAAAAAATACCCTTCATATGTTTGATGTTAAAATGTTTCACACGTGCATTGCCAATTTTTAATGAGTAAAAGACCTTGATCAATTATAAAAGGGGTACCCAGAAAATATGGTGTCCAGAAAATAGGGAACCATGTAAGAGAGCCAAACACTAGTGGCTCAACCTACAATCCTAGCTACTCAGGATGCTGAGGATTACAGTTTGAAGCCAGCCCAGGCAGGAAAGTCCATGAGACTCTTATTTTCAATTAACCACCAGAAACGCAAGAAGCAGATGTGTGACTCAAGTGGTTGAACACTAGCCTTGAGCAAAAAAAAAAAAAAGCTCAGGGACAGCACTCAGGCCCTGAGTTCAAGCCACAGATCAGCATTTGTGCACACAGCCTGTCTAGTAGAGTTGAAGACATGGGCACACCAACTGGAGTGTAAAACAGATCAGAACTAGATAGAACACTGGCAGACAGGATCTTCCAAAGTAGTGTCACGGAGCTGGGAAGGTGGCTCAGTGGTAGAGCGCTTGCCTTGTATGCCTGAGGCCCTGGGTTCGATTCCTCAGCACCACATAAGCAAAAAGAAAAAAAGCCAGAAGTGGCTCTGTGGCTCAAGTGGTAGAGCGCTAGCCTTGAGCTGAAGAGCTGAGGGACAGCGCCCAGGCCCAGAGTTCAGGCCCCATAACCGGACCCCCCCCCAAAAAAAAAAGTAGTATCATAATAGACCCTAGGGATAGATTTGCTAGTTCAGACAAAGAGGGGCTTTGGTAAAGCAGACAGAAAGGCCAAAGGCATGACCATTAGAGCCAGAGGATTTCTTTACTGGCCCTGCCCTCCATCTTTGCAAATCAAGGGCTTAGACTCACAGCTGCTGCATGGACACCAAGGCCAGCACTCACCTTCTGCCTCTGCTGGATGTTGGCCACCGTGTCAGGCTGAAAGTCCAGCTTGTCCGTGCGGCAGAGTTTCCAGTAGAGGATGATGACGATCACCATGACCACCAGCACCGGGATGACCACGCCCACGATGACCCACAGGTTGTTGCTCTGAGACTCTGGGGACGGTCTCTTCACCCTGTCCACGGCTACAGACGAGGAAGCAAATGCATCTGACTGCATATGTGTGCTGGACTAAAGGTGCCTCCTCCTATGAGTTAGCCAGAAGGCCTCTGTCGTTCAATTCAAGACAAGGTCACGAGTCACTATCTCCCTTGACAGGAAATGTGGTCAGGCAACACAGAATAGCACATGTGGAATAATACATCTGGGATCACAACTATGCACAGGTGATGTCTCTAAAGGCACATGACCACTTTCATATCAAAGCTAGGTTGAATCTAAATTCTTGGCTTCTAATTCATTCCACTAATCTACTCCTAAATTCTCACTACAGGACATTTGCCTATCAAAAAATGGTACAAACTGGCCAGCACCAGTGGCTCACCCCAATAATCCTAGCACTCAGGAGGCCGAAATCTGAGAATCAAGGTTCAAAGCCAGCCCACACAAATCCAAGAGACTCTTGTCTTCCATTAACCAGCAAAAAGCCAGAAGTGGAGGTGTGGCTCAAGTGGTAGAGTACCAGCCTTGAGCAAAAAAGAATCTAAGTAAAAACAGGAGGCACTGTATTCAAGCTCTAATACTGGCACCAAAAAAAAAGAAGAAGGAAATTTTATCTTACATATATTTTATCAAATTTTTTTGTTTGATTTTGAGTCTTTTGAGAGTGCTTCCCTTGGTAGCCCAGGCTGGTCTTGAACTTAAGAGCCTCCTGCCTCTACCTTACAAGTACCAAGATTGGGGGTCTCTGCACACCATGTCCAGCCCTAACTATTTTTTTTTTCAGGTAAGGGGTAGGTTTATTCAGTAGACCTGCTGGGACCAACCAAGGTTGGCACTCCACATGGCTGGGAAAGGCCTGGGAATGAGAGAGAGCTGGGAAGAGAGGAAAGAGAGAGAAAAGAGCTAGAAAAGAGCAGAGAGAGGGGTAAGAACAGTAGCACTCACGTGGTATTCAGGTAAGGGGTAGACCTGCTGGGACCAGGCAAGGTTGGCACTCCACGTGGCTGGGAAAGAGAGAGAGCAAGAAAAGAACAGAGAGAGAGAGAGCTAGAATAGAACAGAGAGAGCAAGAAAAGAGCAAGAGCAAGAGCAAGAGAGCATCCTGGGAATGAGAGAGAGCTGGGAAGAGAGGAAAGAGAGAGAAAAGAGCCAGAAAAGAGCAGAGAGAGGGGTAAGAACAGTAGCACTCACGTGGTATTAAGGTAAAGGGTAGACCTGCTGGGACCAGGCAACGTTTGCACTCCACATGGCTGGGAAAGAGAGGAGAGAGAGAGGAAAGAGCTAGAGCAGAGAGAGAGCTAGAATAGAAGAGCAAGAGCAAGAGAGCAGAAAAGAAGAGCAAGAGCCTAACTATTTTTTTAATGATAAAGATAATCCCTAAGTTTTATAAATAAATACAAGCGCTTCATTATATTTTCCTAACCAAGGCTTATGAACACTGACTTATTTCCTTACTTGTGACTCTCTCTAGATCCTAAAAATATGAGGTATTTTTTATTATTATTAAAAGTTGTGTTTTTTCTTAAGCCGGGCGTCTGTGGCTCACTCCTATAATCCTAGCTACTCAGGAGGCTGAGATCTGAGGATCACGGTTCAAAGCCAGTCCATGAGACTATACCAGAAAACCAGAAGTGGCGCTGTGGCTCAAGTGGTAGAGCGCTCGCCTTGAGATGAAGAGCTCAGGAACAGCACCCAGGCCCAGAGTTCAAGCCCCATGACCAACAACAAAAAAAAAAGTCTTTTTTTTTTAATTTTTTAAGGTGTCAGGTGTCTTTTTTTTTAATTTGCTTTTTATTATCTTCTTCTGAGTAGGTCTGTAGGTCTTGGGGCTTCAACTCAGGGCCTCAGTAGCATCCCTTAGTCTATTTGCACAAGACTAGAACTCCACCCGAGCCACAGCTCTACTTCTGGCTTTTTGGTGGTGAGTTGGAGACAAGAGTCTCAAGGACTTTCCTGCCCAGGCTGGCTTTGATCTACAAGCCTCAGATCTCAGCCTCCTGAGTAGTTATGATTGCAGGCTGAGTCACTGGTGCCTGGCTAAGGCTGTTGTTTTTAAAAACACTGATGGGTCTCTCCTCCATTTTCTTCACAAAAAGTATTTCAATACTCTCTGATGCTGGCGTTATTTTCTCATCCCTTTACTGTGGGGAGCAAGTTTCACCATGCTCTTACAAAGAACACTCTGGGTTACAGAGGAAAGCCATCCAAATGGAAACAGCAGGCAGAGTCATAAAGGCAAAGGTAGAGGAGTACGTTCTACCATGCCTCTTCCTGTTCTTCATATTAAATATGTACCCAACGAATCTGAGAGTTGAAAAAGAGGCACTAAGATTAAGCATTGCTAGGCAGGCAGGGACCAAGTACCTTCCAACAGCAATAAAGAAGTAGCAAAACGCCTTTCTAAATTGTGTGGGGTGAGGTTAGGGTAGGGAGTAACAGGATTGAAAAAGGTCAGGATCAAGGACTTCTTTGTGTTGAAAGACCCTGAAGGAAGCCAATAAACCCACAGCGCACCTCCCAACTTCCTGAGTGACTCACTGTCCCCTCAATGTGCACAATGTGACATCGAAGATTCCGAAATAAAAACAGAATAAGCACATTATTTTACCTAAGACAACTTTGTTTTTTAAAGAGACAAAGAAAACAGAAACAAGGAAATGAATATTAACGTTGATATAAGGTACTGTAACATTATACCCCATGAATATGATTGCTAGGGAAGGAAAAACATCAACACAGCCTCAACTATAAGCAATTGAAATCCATTTGAAATCTCAGCAAACAAACCAGACTGGCCTTTTAGCTAAGTGTCACTTCATAATAAAGCTTTATTTTCTTCTATTTATCTTTTTTAATGCCAGTACTGGGGCTTGAACTCAGGATCTCACACTCTTGTTTGACTTTTTGGCTCAAGGCTGGTTGTTTTAAAAACATCAGAGCCATAACTCCACTTCTGGCTTTTTGGTGGTTAACTGGGGAGAAGAGTTTTGTAGACTTTTCTGCCTGGGCTGTCTTAGAACTTTGATCCTCAGATATCAGTCTCCTGAGTAGCTAGGATTACAGGTGTGAGCCACCATCACCTGGCTATAATAAGGGTTTAAGACATAGTTTACCATACACACATCAGAAAGCTGGAAATTCAGAGCTCACTGTTGTAACGCACTGCCTCTGGAGCCCAGCACACAGCCCAGTTGATATACACTTACGCTGGGCAATTGCGCCTTGAATTCGGTACCCCAGGATAATGGCTGCTCTTTGAAGGTCTATCTTGTTGATCAGATCTGAAGACTTAGCTGCACTGAGTCTCTCTCCATCTTGATCCTCCACGAAGTAGATGAGCTGTACTGGGTTGTCATCTCCCTCCAGCCTGGACACGTTTACCACCTGAGAGACAGCAGAAATCATTAGCACCTAGACGCTTTCAATGTGTTCCTCTGGATGATTTGTTCCAGTCCTCATAATAAGCGCCTTATGCCATCCATGGCCCCACAGTCACCATGGTGGCGCTCTGTGGACAAGGAGGACAATCAAAAGCAGAGTTCCTCTGTGCAGGATAACAATGGTGCTTTGTCTGGGCCAACCTCATCTCTGGGACAATGGGGCCAGTAGCATACACAGAACATAGGGTTGGCAGGGGTGGGCAGTCTAGGAAGAGTGGCAACCCATCGTGTCTTGGGAGGATGCCACTATGAACCAACTATGAGAGGTTCTACCTCATCTCCTCCTGAATCCGTTAGCATGCCCTCTTCTCAACCTCAGCCCAGTTGACAATGCAATTCCAAAAGCCAGGTTACGAGTACAATGCTTCTTTGGTTGATGTCACCTGTGCCTTCATTCTCCATTTTATCCCAGCCCTACCTTCAAGTCCGTTTTTTACATAATGTACATTGAATATAATGACTGCATTTGCTCCTCTTCTTCCTGCCACCCCCTAAAACATGTGACAATTCTTTGACTTGGAGAGCATCATAGAATGGTTAGTAGCATCCCTGCCCTCTAGTCAACAGATGCCAGTAGCAACTGCCCCCCCGGGCTACCTAATGTGACAGTCAAAGTCTCTAGACCATGCCAGATGTGCTGGGGTTGGTGGTCATGTGTTAAAGGGCAGGCCCCGCCATTAGTGCTTTCATGCTTCGTGTGTCAGTACTGCATGAATATGGCATTTTGTTTGTTGTTGGTTTTTTTTCTCTTAATAACATTCAATTATTGGTTGTTCGTTTATACGCCTACAAAACATGGGGTGACATCCCAAGGAGAGGTTTAGTACGGGCTTTATTTTGCCCATGCAATGTGAATGCTTTGGCAACTGAGTTTGCCATTGGCAAAACAAAAGTACTATTCCTCTATTCGTGTGAGAGGATCTGAGGCCTTCCAATGCTCTGTGCACCACAGCCGGACTCCACCTTCACCACAGGAAACTTCTGATAAATCAGCAATTCCATGATTTCATGGGGGACTCCATCTGGGTCATGTCTAAGGATCCTTAACAACAAAGGCCCACACCTCACCATCAACGGCACTCCATACGCTTGTTCCAGAGAAGGCTGTCTAACTGCCCGATGCTGGCAGTTAAAGCCAGTTTCTTAACCACATCTGCTCTCCCATGATCAACTCCCACCCCATGGCCCTTCTGTGAAGGGCCTACAGGATGCTAGCCTATAGAATAAGGTGGAGTGGAGAGAAATTGAATGGAATGGAGTGAAATGGAAGGGAGTAGAATTCGTGGATTGGAATAGAAGGGAGTATAACTGAATGGGATATAATGAAGTGAAAGAGCAGGAGTGGAGTGAAGCAGAATGGAATGGAATGAAGAGGAGTGGAATAAGTGGAGTAAAATGGAGTGGAAGGGATAGAGTGAAGGAATCAAGTGGAATGGAATGGAGTGAAGGAGCGGAGTGGAGTGAAGTAGAATGGAATGGAGTAGAGTGGAATGGAGAGTGGAGTGAAAGCCAGATGTGAAGCACCAATGAGCAAAAAAGCCAAGCAAGAGAGTTAGGCCTTGTAGGCAGGGATGGAAGGGGAAAACTGGGAGGAAACAAAGGAAGGGGTGACATTGTCCAAAGAAAGAAATGTACTCATTACCTGACTTATGAAATGGTAAGTCCTCTGTATAATGCCATAAAAAGACAATAAAATTATATACTTTTTTTAAAGTGTCAAGGGTTGGGAATGTGGCTTAGTGCTAGGGTACTTGCCTAGCATGTGTGAAACCCTGGGCTCCATTGTCCAGTACCACATAAACAGAAAAAGCCAGAAGTGGCACTATGGCTCAAGTGGTAGAGTGCTGGCCTTGAGTAAAAGGAAACTCAGGGACAGTGCCCAGGCCCTGAGTTCAAGTCCCAGCACACACACATGTACACACCAATAGCGCATAATATTCTAATATATGAACATATACTGTTTACCCATCCTAATTGCTGAGCATTGAAGTTGGTTCAGTGTTTTCCTATTTACAAATTAAGTCTGAATGAGGAGCCTTGCACTGTTGTTCATTTCTAGAAGTCCCTGCTTGGCACTCAAAGGGGCTAATGATGTAATCTGTCACAGGACATCACTACCTGGGCTGGCTTGGTGAAGTTTCACAAGTGTGGCATTCCTACCACAGGGAGCTTGCACACCCAATTTAACACCTCATTATGCAGTTTTTATGGTGCTCTATAATTGCTTTATATGCATAAATCAACCCACACTCAGCCCCTGAGATCTTAGAAGCCACCAGTTGTGGAATAAGACAAAGCTTATGTAAATCATTTTCATAGTTGGTCTTGGTTTAATGTTTATTTTTCAAGTACTCTGAATTCATTTGCTTTTAAATTACTATTAGTTTTCAAATTTCTCCATCATTTCAACATGTGGAAAGGGAGCCATTTTAGAAACCTAAAGAACCACATTTCAGGAGAGGAGGGCAAAGATCAGGGCTGGAAACATCTGGTGAGTGCTGGAGGATAAGGTGTCCCTTTACACAACACGCCTACCCCTGCCCTGCCTCACACAGCTTTGGCATCTTTATCTCTTGGCCTCTACACCAACCTCTTCCCACCCCACCTACAGCCCTACCCCAGCGCCTGAGTTTCACCCTGGCTGTTTCCAAAATATCATACCTCAAAATGCCACATTTTCTTAGCCCTCTCAGTCAGCAATTAGTAAAGATAAAAATTCATATCACTCACATAAGAGACAGCAATAAATACCAGCACCAGCATCCAAGTTAGTGAACAGTACTAAGTACATGCATTGAAAAATGGGTCACTTCAGTTCAAACAAAACTAGCTTTTGAGCTGTCTGCCAGCCTACCAACCAAAGTGAAGAAGATTTGGGGAGAACAGGAGACAACAGGATTGGATGAAA